ACCTTTAATCGTAGACCAGGTGTAGCTTCGTAACCATCGAGCACCAATGCCGCTCGGGCTGCTCTTGGTTCTTTGTATTCCACATAACAGAATCTTCGAGGCTTTTTAAAGATTTGACTGGGGTAGCGCATTTCGACTATTTCACCATATTTCTCGAACAGAGATCTTAGCGCAGATCGGTCGATTTCGTCAGAAAAATTCGTAACATATAAAACGCAATCTGCTGCGTACACCGTTATCTCATGACCTCCCACGTTCTTTTTGTCTTTGGTTATTGCTGCAGCGGCGCTGTCTCTGTCAAAAAATTCTACATGAGCCGAAACTTTGTAATCTTCTTTGTATATGTTTATTTCCCTTATCTTACCACAGATGTCGAAGAAACTCTTTAATTCTCCTTCCTTGATTCCTTTAGGAAGATTTTCAACGACCACGGTAGCATGCTCTCTATCCCTTCTGTTTGTCTTTGTATATTCTTTACCCTTACTCCTCTTAGCCGCTGGCGCACTTTCATAATTCTCGGCTGCTTTCCTCTTCATGCCTACGTCGACAGATGTAGTCTCAGGATAATTAACTTGAGCCTGCTGAGCATACTTTGATCGCTTGTCAGCAACTACTTTAGCGCGCTTACGTATAAGAGTAAGAGCTGTCTCTAAATCTTTTAAGCTACCGAAATTATGTTCAAATGTCTCATAAGCATCAAATATACGTTCTGGCCAGTCTGAATTCACATTCACAGCTTTCTTGTATATCTTACGCGCCTCTTCAAAATTATTCTGCCCCTTCTCCCATTCAGCATACTGTAACCAAAGCTCGGAATATTCTCGGTGAATCTTTACCATATTTTCCCATATTTCACGTGCCTTCTCTATGTCATTCATGGTGTGTGTCAAGATTTGAATGTAATACTTATCGATTCTGCGATAGGGGTCACCTTCGTTTACCATCTTCAATCCTTCTTCGAATGTAACGATCAATCTCGCAACTTGATCTGCTACATCTTCACTTGCCCAATAAATTCTCCGTCTTTCGTAGTCACATTTTGCAACCAGAACCTTCACTACTTGTTCCATGCTAGTGTCAACACTATTAAGCATGCCTCTTGCAAAAGCTTCATCCCATATTCTAGCCACTTCGACATGCGATTTTCCTAGCACCTCAGCTATCCTAATATGCCTACACCATAGATCGCCTGCCCATGGACAGTTCATTGTGCTTCGACCAGTGACCGAGAATGTCTCCGAAGCATTAGTATTATTATCAATTAAGTAAATAATATAATCGTCCCATAACGTTTGATCTGTGTAGTATATTGCGACAGCTCTCTCGTATAAAAATCGCGCCCTGTAAAATTGCTTCCGTTTTTCAGATTTGACGTCCGCAGAACTTTGCTTCTTCTTACCAAAGTGCGTGTTTCTCTTCTCAAAGTCAATATAAGCTTGAAAGTGGGGGAGTGCATTTTCAGAACGTCGGAGCGATTGATCCATTCGATCTTCATACGCCTCTCGTTGATTAAGTCCTTTTTTCGATTCACTATATTTTGCGTTGCCGTCGACCATGCGAGCTTCATATTCGGCACTGAAATATTTAGTAATGAACGAAGAGTATCTCTGCCAAGTAGTATCGATCATAGAATGGGGAACATCTAGATATTCGATGTATAGAGCACGAACTGTTTCCAACTGCGCCGAAGCCGCTCTTAACTTCTCGAGCAGTTTCTCTTCAAAATCTAGGATTGCGTCCCATACAATGTGAGATTGCGTAATATGAAATTTTGTTGCGTTTTTGGCTTGATCTGTCACAGCTCGAACTTCATCTAGAGTGAATGATGGTGGATCTTCCATATGTTTATCTGTCACAAAGTCGATATATCGTTTCCATACATTGATAGAATAGAAGTCATGTAATGCCCAATCGAATAATTGCGTTATTTGACGCGTTTCCTCATGGTTTTTAGCTAGACGTATATCTTCCTCAATCTCTTCCAGCCACATAGTTTCAGTAACGGGAAATAAAACATGATAATTCTGCTTTGCATTTTTCCACTCCTCAATTTTGCCCTCTTGCTTCAGAACTGCTATGTATTCAAGGTGAGCATTATATACATAGGGATTCTCTTCTACCTGCTTCTTCAAGCTATGCAATAAATTATCTACATCACTTTTACTATGCTTATCGTCCGCTGTTGAAGAAGAATTTGATTCCAAAGCCTTTGCTAAATTTGTTGCTGCTGTAGTTCCTATCGGGCTGTTATCACGCTTATCGTCAGTTTTTGAAGAAGGATTCGACTCTAAAGCTGTTGCTGTTGCTGTTGTAGTTCCTATATGAACTCTTCCATTATCAACAACATTGACCTCTTCTTTGCAGTTGGTAGTTGCTTTTTGCATAACAATAACCGGGGGATATCCCGTAAAATCTAAATCCTTGGAAATAGTTCTAGCTTTTCTACCACGTCGTGGCTTTGCATTTTGGTGACTGTTACCGTTCTTATCGTTTGTTGTTGAAGAATTTGATTTCAGAGTCTCCGCTAAAGTTGTTACTGCTGTCTCTCTCTCTCTCTCTCTCTCTCTCTTTCCTATCCGGTTGTTATCACGCTTATTGTCTGTTGTTGAAGGATCCGACTCTAAAGATGTTGCAGTTGCAGTTTCTACATTGTTACCGTTCTTATCGTTTGTTGTTGAAGAAGAATTTGATTCCAGAGCCTTTGCTAAAGTTGCAGTTTCTACCTGGTTATTATCATTATTACCGTCTGTTGTTAGAGAAGAATTTGATTCCAGAGCCTTTGCAACAGCTGTTGCTTCTGTATTTTCTATCTGGTTGTCGTCGTGACTTAATGGCGTTCCGGAGGAATTTGGTTTTCGAGACTTTGCCAAAGTTTTTGCTCTTCTAGCTCCAGTCTGATTGCTGTCAAGACTTAACGATGTTGAAGAGGTTTTTGATCCTACAGCGCCTGCTGCTCGACGTGGTCGTAGCTTCATTACCTCGTCAGTTACACACGGGATGGTCGTTTTTATGGTATGTAATTGCCAATCAGCAATTACTCTCCCATGTGACCAAAATTCCATTTAGGATTATTAAAATAGTGAATACAATGGTTCGACTGAATATAAAAACGCCATGCGCTTCTTGGAGCTAGGCTACGTGAAGGATTTCAAGCTCTCTCTAGATATATATTTTAATGGCCCAGCTGAAAGCAATGAATGGCGGAGAAATAACCGACAGTCGACGTCTCAAAAAGAAAACGCGTATTAATAAAAGAACTTTTTACTATAGAGATCTCAATACGCCACTTTGTCAATCAATATGTTAGGAATCACTTCGAATCATTGGCGACGAATGGTATAATACCACATCCTGGACATATTCTTGAAACACTTAATCACGGCACTGCTTTTGTCTGCAAGCGGAATCAACAAGGGACAGATTTGTCATTCCTTTGGTAATGGCCATTGGACAATATTTCATATGTTCTATCAAAAGAGCACAGATATTAACTACTTCAACACTGCAACAAGCATAAATTCTCCATCAAATGTCGGAATCGAACAATTACCCACATTGCCTTTCTTATCACTATATGTAGATGAGGAATATCACTTCTTCGAACCACCAAGCAAAAGATAGAACTATTGAGGAGTCGCGTAAGAGGGAGGAAGATTATCTTATGTTTTTTATTTCTTTTTTAATATTTTTTATGTAATTATTTATAAATAAAAATTCTCAAAATCTCTCTTGTTACACAAATAATATTCACTAGTAAGAAATCATTTTTCCTATCCAAATTGTTGATTTTCCTTTCCCAGTCATAGTAATGAAATTGTATATTTTAAATTCCTCATTATCCAAATAAATTTCTAAGTTAGAAATCTCTTGTGTTTTTCGTAAATTAACTTGTTGTTAAAATAATTTGAGATTCATTTTCAGCATATTATAGAATTGCTGATTTTGAAAAACTATTCTACATCCTAATGTTGTTAACGTTCCTTTTAATTGTCTAACAATTCCAACTGAAACTTCTTTTGACATTGGATAAGAATTGGTATTTCATGAAACGATGCATTTATATCAATTCCTCCGTCGCCAGTAAATTCAGTCCGCCAATCGGTTATCCACAATTCGGCTATGTTCATACTTGCATTTTGTGCCACAATTGCAGCGGCCTTCCAAATAATATCTACATATATTATTCATATTTGTATATATATTATTCTGTTCGTATATAATATTTGTTTTCAGAATAGTTTTGAAATGGGAGAGGGGAAGGGGGAGGGGTTTAATCCAACTTCCTGTCTTGGTCTGGTGACATGAAGCCAATTTCTGAATTCAAGTCGTTGGTATTTACTCTTGGTAGTTTCTGTAGCAGCAAGTGGTATTTCAAAGTATACAAAGGAAACTTTAGTGGCCTGCTAACAGAATAGTAATAGTCTCAGATTCGCATTGCACTCTCGCTTTACCATATACGTATATTAATATATGTACTACTTACAAAATATTCCTTCGGTCAGAACTATTAGAGTTGAGGTTGATGACGATTCAATGGCCGAACACAAATATCAGGACGATATATACTTCCTGTACCCACAATAATATCCATTTCATCATGGACTCGCAACCGACCACTCCAACTCCCCATTATACAAGTCAATCCTCCTTGTACCGCTGAGTGAGGGTCGAGAGGCATTTCGTAAGCTTCGATTTTTCCGTCGACGATTTGGGTTCCGCTGGGCGTTCTACAAAGTCAATATTATCATTACAGATTTAAATGTGTGGGATTTCTTGACTATCATAAAATCGGGTCATAAAATCAGGTTATAAAATCAGGCGATAATAATAAATAAAATTAGACCATAAAAATTAGGCGCTCAAGAGCGACAAGTTTTATAGTCAACATATAGAATATTATAAAATGTAAATACGAAACCAGCTAATGAAAGAATGCAACTAACCTAAACTACCTTTTGGAGTTTTGCGTTCTTTTATTATCTACACCTACGATTGCTAAACTACCTTTTGGGCTTGTCTCCAAAAACTGTAAAGGATCTGTAAAAACGCTCCCAAAAGACGCTTTGCATGAGCTTTTACTGCTTGAGACAGAAAACACTTACGAAGATATTAAAGCTCCTGTGTGTAGTCCAGAGCCAGCAGTACGTCTTGTGTTGTAGCATGAAGGGCCTAGTTGCTAGTCGTGTGGTGGGTACATATTTAACATTCGAATGCTGCGGTTTTATGTTACACAGTAAACGTATTGCAAGTCCCGTGAGCAAAGTGAACAATAGTGACGACCGATTTGGATTGATTAGACTCACTGTATATGGAAAAGGATAGCGGGAATCAGTTGCTGAACACTGTTCGACGATTGCTAGTGGCTTGGCAGGATCCTGTCGATTGTCAAACGGATGAAAAGAAGCATTTCCTGGTTCAGCAGATGCAACCGCTGTGGTGTTTGCATCAGAGGAGCCTGCTATAAGTTCGCGATCACAGTCGAGCAGCCAGTTGACAACTCCCAGAGTGAAAACTAGTGTATTGTAGAAACCGGAAGTTCTTTGGCACCAGCATCTTTTGATTCAACAGAGCAAAAACTTATTCCTAACCCACAGAATCTTGAACTGGAAATCACACAAGCCATTAAAGAAGGCGAGAGGTACCTCCAGGAGAAAGCAGCAAAGGCAACATAAGTTGTGGATGCTGTGTATGTGTATTTCCAGAAAGCTATTGTATTTGGGTGAAGTTGCGTTCTAATTTAATAATAATACTTTATTTTTATTCAACATCCGGATCGCTAAGTTTCGAAAGGAGAATATAAAGGTTAATCTTGGGCACCCAAAAAAAATGCTTAAAAATTAGTCTGAAACAGTGCATAACCTATATTCCATTAAATCATATGTATTAATAATAAAATGGTTACTATTCAGGATTTACGCAGTTTCTAAATGTGCTGACACTGATGTCACAAAGTTCATACCCAGTGAATGCGCGTTTTTTGTACCCGGTTTTTTTTGTGAGCAGTAACACTGTCGTACCTGTTTCGTCATGCATAATATCTAACCGATCACTCTCCCGATATCAATACAGATTCTGCATGCTCGAAATAGATTTTCTGCTTATACGGATTAAATAAAATTGAATCATGAATACTGAACCGCAATCTTTATTGTTATACAGTGTTACAAAAGTCTTCGAACACATATATTTGGCCGCATAGCTTCAACATGACTGTTCGCCATTAATGGCAATAACAACGTTCCTTCATCGACCTGATTAAATTAATTATATAAGTTCCAAACCAACGCATAGTGAATTATTGACTGAAAACGCAAAAAACTATTCAAACAAAAATTGAATCTTCTTTCCGTAGGAAAGCGTATAGGACTAAAAACGCCAGAAATATTCGTTGAATAAGATATTTTAAATGGATTTAAATAGGCATATTTATGGGTCCTGTACTCCTGAAGAATGGGCCGAATATTGCCAGATGCCGCAAGTTCGAACAAATGAAATTCCTGGAGAGTGGAAAGAGCGAAATTTGGACCCGTTTAACATATTTCAGAGAAAACGATCTTTTTACTGGATCAGAGTAAAAGATATCTTGAAGCTAGGAAAACAATACGATTTCCAGATGGCGGTTGTTACTCGCCTACGATTGGAATTGCAATCTGTTTCTCTTGTGATCGATCAGTATATACTGGACAAAGAAAAAAGAATATAGGAAATCATAACCATATAGGAATGGAGAGGCATTGGAAATTTTCATGTATCGAAAATAAATACTGTGGCGTAAATTATGAAGAGATTTGAAATTAGACAGAAATCCGAAACTAATCGTACGCTCGACAATATGCGCGATTTGCACTATCATAAACTATGGACGTCAAATGTTATTAGAAGCAAGGGAAGCAGGGAAAAAAAAATCCGAGCATACAAAAAATTTTATTATCGTCCGTCTGGAGTTTGCCCTAAAAATCAGCTAACCATTATAACCTCTTATAGAGTATTTGCGAAGAAATGCGTATGATTATCACGAAAATAACCTCAGAGTCTCTTGCTTGAGCAATGTCAAAATGCCACAGCATAAATAAAAAACAATATTTATCCCCAAGCAAGCTAAAATCGATTTTACGCGTAATCGGAAAGAATACTCCCATCTTACATCTATGAATCTTAATTATTTATTCAATTATACCGTTTATAAACAAAAAATTTTTTAAAATGTAGCTAATCAACAATCTTGTTTTTTGTACTGCAAGAGTATTTTAGTTTGTGTATCGAAAAAATAAAAAATACAAAATCGCTTACATAGCAATCACTTTTTTTCTTAATACGTTCTGAAATAGAACGCGCATGATTGATGAATGTAATTAATATAGTATTTACCGAGACCAAATCTTTAGCGATATAATCGGAAGTTTTAAGTTTATTCTATAAGACCCAATTCTCGAAGATGCTCCGGAATAACTATATACGGGTCTTCGTATTACCAAACATATCTTAAAACAATCCAGTTTTCTTCACACAATTTTTTCTTGAGTTGATCGCGTGCTTGTTGTTTGATAAAATTATTGGGATCTCCTTTATGGAAGAATTTGTTATATTTTTCATGCTGTTCTCCTTGTACTTGTTGTACCTCAGTTGGGGACCTGTCTCAGTTCTGGACCGAGACAACTGAGTTCTGGACCGAGTGACTGGGTTCTGAACTGAACTCAGACACAACATACTTCGATAGCAAATCCATAATGGTAGTAAGGAATATCGAGTTCTAAACCTGTTGGTTATTCTGATGTTTTCAAGAAACCTGGCCAGCGATTTTCTGATGGTATTGGATGCAATTTCACAACATAAATTTTGTAAACGGCAAAATGGACACGATTTTAAGTGTTGAATGCCATTTATGCCCTTTAGCGCATTTTCACAACAAAGATTACCAAATATCTCGGAAAGGCACTCGCCATTCCTGCTATGTGCAATTTGTTTAGCCTCTTCAAGAGTAAGGCGTCTTGTACCTGCACAATATGGACACAATATTTTATACTTGAAAGACTAACACACCACTCATGCATTTTCACAACAAAGATTAATAAAAATCAGGACACCAACTATTGTAATATTTTACATTTCTAGGCGCTAAATACCATTCATGCATTTCCAATGTAATGGCGATGCACTATTAATATAATTTTTGAAAGACATTATCCTTTTCTATTATAGCAATCTTTTTAGCATCATCAAGAGTATAAGGTTTATTTTTGCGCAATAGGGACACCATTTTTTAGCATGTTTAATCCTGTGAAAAGGAGCCATCCTTGATAACATTTCCAGATCATTAGTATAGTGGAATTTATATATCCAGTTGAAAGACATACCTTACCACGAGACTCAGCAATAGAACAAGCATCATTTAAACCATAAATAAAATTTTAATAATCTTCATATCTCATTCTATTCCTTTAATTCAAAACCCAAACGAATATAGAGCAGATCCTCTTTCGCTCTAGTCAAGTCAATCACAATGAACTGTCGACCTTGCAAATTCTTATCAATTATGTCAACAGCATTACACTATTTTTTTGTATAACACCACCTAACAATATCAACACAATATAATATAATTTTTTTCTTATTAATTTCAGACAGTCGAAAAAGCTTTGAGTTACGTAGATTGAAAATGGCGTCCCTCAGTAAAGTAAGGAGCGATTTTTTCTTAGGCCTACTACATAATAATATGTCTTTGAATATAACTACCACCCTCTTTCAGGAGAAAATTCGTCAATCTTTGGTATTTTGTCGGGCATTTGAGCGATATGGCTTTGCAATGATTTGGTAACAATCTCTCAGATGTCTATATTTTGATGGTGTCCAATCAAAACTAAATCGTCATTTTTTATAAAACGTATCCCGCCTTTTTTTTCCGTTAAACATCCGATACATCTTGTCTCCAAGTAGAAGACTGACAATAATATTCATTTAGTTCGTCCGCTGACCAGTAAATTGAAAGACCATTGGGGTGTCCTGCATTCTTACACTCGTCAATGTGATAAACGAACATTTCGCACTTGTCAAGCTCATATGCCTGCCTTGACGCTAAGTGCGGGTTATTATATTATGACCCTAAAGTTTGTTTAATTAACTTGGTTTATTTCGAGAATACGGAGTGAACAAGCGAATATTATGGAATTAAGACACGTTGTCAATTTATTTCAAACACAAATAATTTTAAACTTAACCTACAACTGCTTTTTAGAAACAGCACAGACTCATATCAATTCTAATTTAGTAAACTTTATTATATAATGTGCAGCGGCGGGAAATTGTTTTCAATTATAAATACACGTCTATCCGTTTTTCATTGATTAACTAGATAGTATTGCTCAAACTCTCGGCCCTGTTGATATGAACTATGCGTATGGCAATTTTATTTCCGTTGTTGGATGCCGTTAAACTTGCATCGTTACGGGGCCGTTAAGGTTATGCAGCAATA